TGTATGCAAAGGGTACATTTGGACAACTCATATTCGACATATTATACGAATGTGATATCAGGGGTCCCTCAAGGCTCTGTTTTAGGACCGCTATTGTGCTCCATTTACATATCAGACATGTAAACGCTCCTCTGAAGTGATGATTTTTGCGGATGATACACGAATATGTAAAACTTTTGATCCAGATGACTGTGTAGCAGCTGTTGACGAGTTGAATTGTGACTTAACCACTATTGTTAGTTTTTCCAAGCATCCTTAACGCTAAATGCCTCTAAATCTAAAGCTGTTCTCTTTGCACCAAAAACTAAATCATTAATATCAGAAATAACACGACATTATGACACTTCATTAGTTTATGAGGATATTGCAAAAAATTCTGGTGTCTTACTTGACAAGGATTTACGTTTTCGTGAGCATATATCTAAATTAGTAAGAAACTGCTTTGTTGTACTAAAAACATTGTTTGTTAATAGGTATTTCATCAATTTCAAATTGAAAAGACATCTTTTTGAAAGCCTAGTTCTCTCAAAAATCAACTACTGCCTTATAGTATTCTATCCTTACTTAGATCAAGTCTCAATTCGCAGACTTTAACTGATTCAAAATTCGTGCTGTCGCCTCATCTACGGTTTAAGAAAATATGACCATGTTTCCTACTGTAATCGTAGCTTAAAATGGTTAGATATTAATAGTTCTTACGAGTATTTTATCTTGAAGTTCATTCATAATTTAATTATCACGGGAACTCCCGAATACCTCTTAAAAAAAATTGTTTTTAGGCAATCTGTTAGAGATCGCATGCTCAGGTACGGCAAATTATTAGATATTCCACGGCACCGTACGGCTTTATTTACTCGCTCTTTTAGATATAATTGTGTCAAATTGTATAACGCGCTACCTGATGCATTCAAAAATTTATCTCAAACTAAATTTAAAGTTTGTGTCAAGCAGCATTTGCTATCAAAAATGACTCTTAGTAGTAATTAAGTAGTAGTTTGTAGTTTAGATTAGTAACCGCCAGAAAAATTTTATTTGACGTGTTGCTGAATCTGTTTATAGTTTCTATATTATGTGTTGCAATATTTTTTCACAACCATGAAAATAATAGGGTTTAAGTGGAAGAGTAGCTATTTAGCTAAACACGCCCGATACTATGTAACTTTATAAATACAGACAATTTATTATTATTATTGTTATTATTACTATTTAAGGTAGAGAGTGAGCGGAGGTTCTGAATACTAGTATGTCAAAAGAACAAATCAAGATCAACATTTTAGCATGAGAAAGCTGTCCGCGCGTTGGGTGCCGCGTTTGCTCACGTTAGACCAAAACGTGTTCGAATGAACATTTCAAACGCTGTGCTGGCGCAGTTTTGGCGCAATAAATCCGAGTTTTGGCGCCGATTAATTACTGCAGATGAAACTTCGATACACCATTATATGCTCGAAACAAAAATACAGTCCAAACAGTGAACTCCAAAGCAGTAACCGGCTCCAAAAGAAGCAAAAACTGTTTTTTCGACTAGGGAAATGATACCGACTGGTCATTGGGATAGTCATGGAGTTATTTCAATCGATTATCTTCAAAAAGGAAAAACCATTACAGGAGCATACTATGCATAATTGCATGACAAGCTGAAGCTGAAAAATTGTCGTCAAATGAAGAGGCAATCACCTTGGTGAACAATTGTTTTGCAGAGAAAAACGCCGAGTACGATTTGGACGGGTTACAGATATGGGAGCATCGCTGGGAGAAGTGTGTTCAGTTACAAGGATATTACTATGTTAATGGATAAAAAAACAATGAGAGAAAATGCCTTGTATCTTTGTTAGAAAACCGTGTACTCGCACTAGCTTGCAATGACGGTCCACGGTGGCATAGCTTATTTCGGAGGAGTCCCACATCGAAATTTGTCTAGAGACTCTACCCGATATGTATTGATCAAGTATTGCTTTTTGTAGAGGTCACAATTTTGGAGACATTCAAGCGCTTGAATTTGCCGTCTCTGATCACTCTAGGTTAGAGCGCTTTTAAAGGGCTCTAAAATTTTGATTCCTTAGCAATGCTAAGTTTTAATTTTTTTACGTCACTGGTCAACAGATTCTACCTGAAGGCGATAGTCAACCATATACTGCATTCCATGCACTACCTACGGGACAATAGCAGAACACGAAAATGAATCTGCAATTCCACTTTGAAAAAATTGAAGTGTCTGGTTCCACTATTGTATGACAGATGGCGTCAGCATACTTCAGTTTTTTTTTGGGCGTTAGTATATAGCATATGGTAGTATACTCAGTTGATATACAACCAGAATTTTTATTCTAAGGAAAATTTTAAATTGGCATACCTGTGCAAATTCGTAGCAGACTACTTCTTTCCAGAAAACCTACTTCTTAAATTATTCATAGCTGAAGATTTAAGTTTTTCGAGATTATCTGCCTTTGTAGACAATACTAAGTATAATAGTCGTAGTTCCATGGAAGACAAGGGCAATTTAATCACTTCTAGTTTCCAAAAGCTCTTTACAGTATGTAAAGGGATGACATTTTGTAGATTGTATCGAAAGAGTGTCTCCTTGGAAATAGCTGTGAATGATGTTCACTTATAGTAGCTGTGCGTGTTGCCTAAACATCATGGCACTTGAGCTATATGCTTCAAAGTTGACACTAGCGGAAGCCATGTATAGTTTCTATGGCTTAAGCTGTAAGTTCTATACTATAGGTCGTTTTATATTTCTCCATTGGTGATGCTTAAAGCGAGTGCACCGCCTAGCTAGTACCCACATAACTGACGTTATACGGATTTTGACAGTATATAGATTTTTTACGTGATACCCCCGTCGGAATACCTAGGATTTTGCGATTGAGGCGTACAGCCTTAAACGTCCTGTGAATGTTTTTACGCACTTCGGGGTACGGTCCATCCTGTCCTGTATTTCGGAAGCTTTGACTGAACTAGCGGTGAATCTGTCGCGATACTTATCACCGTTGTTACTAAAATAACAAAAATTCAGTCTTGTCGCAAGAGGTGAAACACGTCTTCTGTTGTTCATCGGATTTCTGGGATGTTGTAAAACTCAAGGTATTCAATTCATAAATCCGACGATTCGAAATGAGTCTCGAGGGCTACAAAATGCGAAAAATAAACTTCAACAAAATGCAAAAATACCAAATAAAGTTATATATTGGAAAATATATACGTACAAAAATGTTAACATTAGCATACACAAACAAAAGAATATACGACGATTTACGCATTTGACAATAGAAAAATTTTAATGGACGAAATGACAATTTCTGATGAAGCTAGTAATGAAAACTTTGAATCAAGACAAAAGTAAAACAAGGTTAAGAAACTATAGATAAGTATAAAAAAATAACAAATAAGAATGGGGAAGAGCCACATTACCAAATGAGTGGTATTTATGTAAATACAACCTAGGGGAATGCACTACATCTCCTCTGACGGGTTTTTTGTAACACTCACTTGGTGTTGTGTTCTTTTATAAATATTTATTATCTTTCGATCCGTTCTCATGATGTTCTTGTTTTGAATCAGGTTTTAATTACTAACTTCATTAAAATTAGTGATATTTCTTCTCTTAAAGCCTCTAAATTTGTACATGCATGCATCGTCGTATAGTTTTTTTTGTTTGTTGGAATAAGCTCTACTACTTTCAAGATTTATATTTTTTAATCTATTTTGTAAAATATAACTTTATTTGGTATGTTTGTATTTTGTCCAAACTGATCTTTAGCAATAAATGTCAATACGTCGTCTTTATGAGTAAATTTGCATCACTGAACACCTTGAGACATTACATCGCAAAATTCACAGATTAAAAAAATCCACAACCTATCTGCCATAGTCCCCCTTATTTCTCCGGCCAATCCAAACCACATATGTCGAAAAAATCTTCTTTATTGTAAACGTTTCGGTCACAACTGTGACTTTCTTCAATACAATGACTTTGACAATGTTGTCAATAGAAGGTCAGCGTTGTCACCAAGACGTTTACAATAAAGAAGACTTTTTCAGCACATGTGGCTTCGATTGATCCGAGAGGGGATTATTGACATGCAAACAGCAGCATAAGTTCCAGATGTTAAATTATCCACCGCGTGCTCAACAAAGTGCAACTATGAAAGAGACAATCGTACCATCATGATGCACTGGTATGGTAAGGTGCAAGGTGAACTACTCAACTATGTCCGTACCTTTCTTCGAGTTGAGGTATTCAGCACACTGATTGTACGAAAGATTGTCGGAAGCTAAAGGCTCTGTAAGACCCTCGAAGGCTTAATTCACTCCTGCGACCAACCTAGTATCTACCTTGTAACTGTACATGTACTGCACCTACTGAATTGTTGACGTAACCTTTCAACAACATAATTACACTATTCCGAAAAGGGCATACAGCTATTATGCAGAAAGCAATAACATTCTCGGAACAGATTCCACACAGCCTTCACCCGAACATATTCTAATATGTGCCAGTTGCAGCCGTCAAAGTTTCCCAATTTCCAACACAAAATGGCACCCTAGCTTGGCGATCTTCATAAATTAAATTTACCGAACCACTGAGTCGTATCCCCTCCTCTAGGCATCTATACGTACACAATTTTGCATAATTGCCAATTTTATTTACATAGACAACGAAACCCTTTGCTTGCACCCTCTATTCTACATGATCCGTATACTAATGTTTTCAATTTCAATATTTATGTCCCCGTTATGGCATTTTGATGGAATGTTCAATTTCCCCCTGGCGTTGCCACATTATTCACCCCAATGAATCTATGGCTCAAATGGAGCTTGCATTGTACGAGGAATGTCTTTTAAGTTTTGCATATAGAAGCATAGTAGGCCGCGCGCATCGAACGTCAGTACTTAATCTTAACCTCACTCTTTAGTAAACCTAAATTCAAAGTTTCACAACAATACGTGCAGTGTTCTAACTACAGTGGATTTTTAAGTGTCACCAAGTCATTAGAAAAATGGAACTCAACCGAGAACATTTTCGCGCCATAATTTATTACAACTTTCAGAGACAATTATCGCAACAAGAGTCGACAATTTCCCGTTGGTGTGGAGAATTCAAACGTGGACGGGTGAGTCTTAACGACGATCCCAGGGTGGGTGCACCAAAAACGGCAGTCACTCAGGAAAACGTCGATGCTGTGCGCAAACTCATCATTGAAGATAGACATGTGACATATCGCGAGATTGAGGCGTCCTTGAAGATCTCAAAGACCTCAATTCAAAAAATTTTACATGAAGAATTAGGAGTAAGAAAATTAGTTTCTCGCTGGATACCCCACCTGTACAGCAGTGTTAGTGGTGATGAGTCGTGGATTTACTGTTATGAACCAGAAAATACACGACAGTCGGTTGTTTGGGTGTTCCAAGGTGAAGAAAAGCCAACAAAAGTCATCCGTTCTCGAAGTGTTTCGAAAAAGATGGTCGTGACATTTGTGTCAAAAGCGGGTCATATTGCAACAATTCCTCTTAATGAGCAAAGAATTATTACTGCGGATCGGTATACCACCATTTGTTTGCCAAAAGTCATCACCGAGCTTCGCAAAATCAACCCCGAAAGAAGAATCATCCTCCACCAAGACAACGCAAGCTCGCACACAGCCCAAAAAACAAGGCAGTATTTAACGGAAGAAAACGTGGAATTACTGGACCATCCTCCATATAGTCCCGATCTAAGTCCTAACGGTTTCTTTACTTTCCCGAAAATTATGAACAGACTGCGTGGTCAAAGGTTCTAGTTACCAGAAGAAGCAGTTGACGCATTCAAAAATGCCGTTTTGGATCTGCCAGCAAACGAGTGGAATAAGTGCTTCGAAAACTGGTTCGAACGCATTTAGTTATGTATTAATCTTCCTGGAGAATACTTTGAACAACAATAAAGTCATTTAAAACTACCTACCGTGTTGTTTTATTTCTATATGCAAAACTTAAAAGACATCCCTCGTAAACAAGGTGGTGTCTCGAAATATACCTTGATATTTTTGAAATGTATCCCAATAACAGGACAATTCTTGAAAGAGATACGATCGAGACAGCCCAATTCGGCGAGGTCTACCAAAGAGCCGTTCATTTCGGCTGGTCGGGGTCTAGATCACCGAGGACTTGATCTAACACGAACACGGTAGCTGCTGCGAAAAAGTTAGAGAGAGAAGTACTTTTCTTCACATGACATGACTTCCTCACCCTGTACAAGGCCCAGATAGGACTTAACCTCGAATACTGCTCACATGTTTTGGGTGCTGCCGTCCCGACCACCAGAAGGTGAGAGTTGGAAATAAGAAAATGACGGCAGGACAATGTCCTCGAAAAATGAGTTAAATAAAATGTGATACATAAGGAACTCATTACAGGGGCGACACTGAAGGATGCACAGTATAAATGAAACATTGAAATCCATAAAGATATAGAATTTGATCTTACTTTCATGGGCAGGTTAAAGCCCTCTTCAAGAGAAATGTAGTATCGATCTTTTCCCTTCTCTCCTCCAAATTGTATGTGGGCGGTCGTATGGGGAGCTCCATCGCAGGTGTCCGCCTTGCAATTTGTCGGCTGAGCAGATATAGTTCCAGACCAGGTATCCTTCAGTATGATTGACGCCTGAAAACAAAAGGAAAATATCACTAAAGATCTCATGGGAATCAAGAAAATTAACGAGCCATATAGGTGTTCTGTGACTCGTTTAGTGGAACATATCGATTTAAAATGTAATTAGGTACTATTGTAACAGTCTTACGCATAATTTTTACTTCCGACGCCTACTGGGTATTGTGATTGCAAAGTTTTTTGAAAATGAGTTATTACGCTTCTTGGATATACTTTTTTTCGAAACAAATATTCATTCAATAGACAATTTTTACAAATTTCGTAGTACACACAGTTCTCTAATCTGTGTTTAGAACACTGGCCTCGAGAACATTATTTAAAGTGCGAATTTTAACCACAATTCAAGTGACTTTCGAGTGTTTTTGCATAATCTCCGAATAACTGTACAGTCTTTACACTATTTGGAAGATTATTATGTGTTTTTAATGTCTCAATGACAAAGTTATTTATCCCTACATTAGTTCTATTAGGAATGTGGTACAAATTATTTATTACGTGATTTTGTTTCATAGTTCTGTACATCATGTGTGCTCAGAATTTTTGTATTACACTTTTATTGGTTATTCATTTTTTTTTAAATCGTTTCACATGATTCTAATTCCAACAGCTTATCTAGTTTACTAATATTAAGTCTGTGTATATAGGGTGTCCCGAAAAAGGTGTACCAGCGGTTTCTAGAGCTCAAAATAAGAAGAAAAGTTTATATAAATATAGGTCGGCAAACGTCTCCTAAGGGCGCTACGGTCTTTTAAAGGGGCTCCTCTGAAGATGGTTTTTCCTTAATATTTTCGAAACGTGTTGAGATCAACACATAAAATTTGGTATTCTCGCCTAGTTTTTTATGCTGGATTTAAAAATATTAACAATTTTAGACAGTTTTGTTTGGAAGCGTATGTTACAGGGACGGACTCAGGTAATTTTAGCCCCAAAACTTTTGTGTGATTCTATTTTTGAAATTCAATTTTAGAATTTGAAAATTTAGGATTTTCTACATAAAAAAGGTACCCTCATTGAAATCGATAAATTGTGCCATTGAATAAAACCGAACTAAAAAATTTGTCACATGATAGGAAATGTACTGCGAATTTAAATGAATTGTTGATTATACATAGTTAGCCATGACTGCAAACAAAAGTTGTTTTGATTTGTTATGACTTATTTTGACGTTAAGCTGACATGGTTAGCAGTGTAAAATTACTAGATTAAAATCAAAATTTTTATTAAATCGATTTACAATGCCTAGATTTACAGACAGAGAACTGACTGACATGCATTTTGTCTACGGGTTTTGCAACGGCAGTTCACTGGCAGCCGTAAGATAATATCAAGGAAGATTGCCCAATCGCATAGTACCTGGACGTCGAATGTTTACTGATATTCACCAGAATTTGTCAAACCATGGAAGTTTTCAGCGCATGCAGGGCTCAGGAAGGCCACTGGGAAATCATCGTATGGATATTGCTTTAAATATGTTTGAAAATAATCTGCAAGTAAGCATACGAAGTGTTTCAGAAAATATGGATATACCACGATCAATAGTAAGAAAAATTTATGAATACCTATTTGATAGTTATCCTAAAAATAATAATTTCAGATAGGAAGAATGACAAGGATGGAAGGATTACATCCTTATCATTTTAAACGGGTGCAGCATTTAACAGAGGCAGATTTTTTACCACGAATGGAGTTTTGCCAGTGGATATTAGCAAATAAAAACACTATTCCTAGAATATTATGGTCAGATGAGTCAATATTTACTAGGAATGGTGCTTTTAATTTCCATAACATGCATCACTGGTCAGATGAAAATCCAAAAGTTGTTCGCCGTACAAATTTCCAACATAGATTTTCATTGAACATATGGGCAGGAGTAATTGGGGATCAAGTAATTGGGCCTATTGTACTTTCCAATCGTCTTAATTCAGAGATGTATCTGAACTTTCTTCAGAATGAGCTCATGGATATAATACCATTGGATGTACGCCAGCAGTTTCAAGAAAATATGTTCTTTTGACATGATGGCGCCCCTGCACATTTTGGACGCAATATTCGAAATTGGTTGAATGCCAATTTTCCAGACAGGTGGTTAGGCCGAGGAGGTCCTATAGCATGGCCGCCACGTTCACCTGGCCTAAATCCATTGGATTTCTATTTTTGGGGGTCATTAAAAGACCTAGTTTACAAGACTGACTGAAGTAAATACTCAGGACGATTTACTTCAAAGAATCCATCAGGCTACGCAATCATTATTTCATCGAGCGAGACTCTGTGTCCAACAAATTGGGAATATATTTGAACACTTTTTCAAACAAATTTCAATTTCGTTCGTAGCAAAAATTTATTTCTTTTGTTTTTGCCTAAATGTTAGCTATGTTGCAATAGAAATATGTATTTATGTAATATTTACCAATTATTAAATTAGCTTTTTGGTTGCCATGGCTAATTATTCAACAAGTCATTTAAATTCGCAGTACATTTCCTATCATGTGACAAATTTTTTAGTTTAAATTTATTCAAAAATGGCACAATTTATCGATATTCAATAAAAGTACCTTTTTTATGTAGAAAACCATAAATTTTCAAATTCTAAATATGAATTTCAAAAACAGAATCACGCAAAAATTTTGGGGCTAAAATCACCTGAGTCCGTCCCTGTTACATACGCTTCCAAACAAAAGTGTCTGAAATTGTTAATATTTTTAAATCCAGCATAAAAAACTAGGCTAGCATACCAAATTTTATGTCTTTATCTCAACACGTTTCGGAAATATTAAAGAAAAATCATCTTCAGGAGAGCCCCTTTAAAATACCGTAGCGCGCTTAGGGGACGTTCGTCGACCTATGTTTATATAAACTTTTCTTCCAATTTTAAGCTCTATAAACCGCTGGTAGAATATTGCACACTTTTTTCGGGACACCCTGTATATTGTCCGTGTTGGCAAGTCGGTCATAGTGGATCAAAATTCATAAAATTTTGTTTTGCGAAACTTGTGCTTGAAATCCAAATTTGCCACACATTCGAATGCAGCCATTTACAGTAAAGAGCCAGATATAAATTTACTTCAGCAGACACAGCTTGCTCATGATTTTCTTTGTAAAGAAGAACTGTGTTGTCAGCAAAAGTAAAATACCCTGCATCAAGATTATCACCCTTTATATTTAGAACATAAACATAACATAATAAGTTTTAACTGAATTATATACATAGTACCCCTAAATCCCATATTTCGTAACTTATTTTATTACATATTGATATCTACCACATCACATGCCTTTCGTAAGTCTATAAACATAGCTATAACTAGTTGTTTTTCATCCAGAGCCCTTGAGATATAATTTACAAAACCAACTGCAACTGCAGGCGTACTTATATTTCTTATTAACCCATAGTGGTAACTGTCAGGAAATGTATTTCCATCTATAAACGACATCATTCTCTTGATGATTTTTTCAACAATTTTGTATAAAACACTGATCACAGATATTGACCTATAATTCTTCATCAACTGACTTATAAAGTGGAGTAATTTTACTGATTTTGAATTCATCTGGATATTTTCCAGTTATAATCGATTTGTTAAATCATTTTACTAATATTCTTACAAAATAAGATCTGAGGTTGCGCATGTCTCTGACTGAAATGCCACCATTGCCGGTGCTGACTTTATTTTTAATTCCAGTATGGTTTCATCCACCTCCTGTTATTATGTGCACCTGATGTTCTAATTTCATTTTCCAACTATTAGGCGATAGAACTGCATCTATCTTATCATGCACAAGAAGGTTGCCAATCTTCAAACAAACAATCGTCGCCTTCTCTGTCTTGTTTTAAAGAAATAATTGATAATCGTTCATTGCTTGTTTATGTTGATACCAGCTAAATTAAACTTTCCCATTTCCCATTTCTGTCGGTCAGCGAATATAAATGACATTTTTGCACAAGGCTGCTACTATGCCGAGGATGAAACAACTTTTTAGTTTTTGAAAATCGTACCAGTGGTGACGTTCCAGAGAATACCGATCAGTTTTTAAATTTTTTTAGGGGTAAGCAATTGGGAGGGTTGATATTATCGGGCAGGGGGAGAGTGTATCGCAATTTTTTAATGCTGGTATATTAATACACACCCAACCCGCCTACAAAATTTTGCGACCTAAAACGTATACTGAATTTTGCCACCATCTCAACACCAACTAATTTTTTGTGATGCACAAGTCAAGCAATATTTATAAACGGCGATTACAAAATTGCAGTCGCCTGTTACCGAAGTAGGGAATAACGTATGGCTTAAAAGTTTTGGCACAAAATATTTATCGGATCTTTATTTTTTAATGAGGAAATTTATTTAGGCACTAACTAGTTATCATAAGTTACCACTCAATACTTAACGAAACTGAAGCAACTTGGAATGGAATCGATATAGCTCTGGCAAAGCTTCACCCCTCACTCTTCCCACAAAAGGTTGGGATACCCCCCTGTTAGAAATTAATCTTAATGCGAAAACTTCAAAATAAGTAAATGTAAACTGACAGTAAAATAAGCAGACTTTTGTTTCCCAAGGCAACTCGATATTATTTTGTGTTTAATAAAACTCAAGCCAATGAACTTCGTGCCAATTTTTTTAGGAAATACGTTAGTTACATGAACCTGAACCTTTGCATATCTCTTGACTGTTGCATATTATATGAAATACCGCATCTCTCGAGATCTATTTATGAATTGGTGACCCTAGCTAATAATCATAGTGTATATTAAATCCCAGATTGAATTGATAATTGTGCTACAGTCAGAGGCATTGTGATCTGAGAGTAATACCGCACAAAGCAGATCGAAGGTCAGGGATTATTGCCGCAAATTGCCAAATCAAAAAATTCCTTGCTTTGATACTACGTAGAATAATAGTGTACGAAGCGATATCAAAACATTATGACACATCGCATAGGCATATGACTTGACTAGAGAAAATGAGCATGGTGGCCAGAAAATTTGCCAGAATAATTTCTTTTAAAAAAATACACTTTTATGTCTTTCAGTCAGTGGTATGCAAGTAGAAAAAAGAATTATAGGTCAAACAAATAAGAAGGTCCGAAAAAACGATTGTTAAGTAAACTGTAAAGTACGGGAATACAGTTTTTCTAAGGAAATACTGTTTGTTCTAAAAAAAAAATGAAAAAGTGTCCTACTACTTGATGCAGACACTCAATACAAATTTTAAGGAAAAGCATCTGACATTTCAATGAAGATTTGGAAAATGTCAGATTCTTATAAATTTATTATATTATTTTTCGATCTTCCACTGGGTGATTGGAAAAATGGCAATATTTGTTAGAAAAAATCTATGCGAACGGGATACGAATATACAATGCACAACTTTTAATGACAAACTTCATTCATCTCCAAAATATGAATAGGAATTTAATCTCAAATATACTAAGTGACATATAAATCCGAACACCCAGTTTAAATGGTTCTATTTTAATAAAAGTTGGTGAATGTATTTATCTTACTGTAAATAACAAGTGAAAAAATTTTCAGCCTTATCAGTTGGACATTCCGGTTTTTGTACTGCTTTTTTTTAATTCACTAACGCTCTAAAAATGAATATTTCAGCCGCAGTAAAGAATCAACGTTGGCGGATTTTGGTTCTTGACATCCTTTACGATCGGTTACGATGTCTAGAGTACGGAGACCTGTACGATTTCGTCAACTTAGTGAGTTTGTTAGGGGCCGTATAGTGGGACTTCGGGAAGCTGGACTTTCTTTTTGGGCAATTGCAGTTAGAGTGCAAAGAAGTGTAGACACTGTGGTTAGGTGTTGTCAGGCATGGCCTCGAGAAGGCCGTACGCAAAGAGCAAGGGGCACTGGACGCCGCCGTAGAACAACAGACCGTGAAGATCGCCGCCTAAGATTATTGGCCTTAAGGGACCGTTTCTCCACTACCAGGTGGCATGTGAAGTGTTTACCGACGAATGAGAAGTTTTGGCTTGTTTTCATACCGGCCACACTGGGTCCTCCCTTTAACTCGAGAACACCGACGTAATCGCCTTGAGTGGTGCAGACAACGGTCACTCTGGGATCAGGAATGGAACAGTATTGTCTTTAGTGATGAGTCTTGATTTTGTTTAGGCATGCACGATGGTCGTGCCAGGGTTAGAAGGCGACGTGGTGTAAGAAGGAATCCACAGTTTCTTGTTGAAAGACATGTTCATCACACTGTTGGAGTTATGGTTTGGGGTGCTATAGCTTATGGTTCCAGGTCACCTTTAATCTTCATCGGAGGTAACATGAACGCGCAGCGTTATATCCACGAAGTTCTAGAACCCCATCTTTTACCCTATCTTGACACCCTGGCAGATCCAACTTTCCAATAAGATAATGCCCGACCACATGTTGCAAGAGGCACAATAGACTTCTTTCAACATAATGATGTCACATTGTTACCATGGCCACCACAAGATCTCCCGACTTATCCCCAATTGAGCACGTGTGGGATATGATGGGTAGGAGATTGCTCAATTTGCAACGTCCTCCTCAGACTCTAGAAGCACTTCGAGAGGAGTTGGTGGTTGCCTGTTATGAGATACCACAGGAGGACATTGACCACCTGATCAGAAGCATGCCTAGGCGCGTTGGAGAATGCGTAGCACATCAGGGTGCATCCACACATTATTAAAGGTCAAACGGCTTTAAAGCAGTGCTATCATTTTGAAATTTTTATCATTTACTTATCATGCTTCATTAAGTACTTATACAAAATTTGATTAAAATAAAACCATTTAAACTGGGTGTTCGGATTTATATGTCACTTAGTATATCTAAGGAAGTTTTTTCCTGAAAGGAGTATCAGAACAAACATTCATGAGTGATAATTCATGTAAAATGACACACCTTAACTTGAAAATTTCAAGAAGTGAAAAACATTTTTTACTATCCTTCTAATGGCATCAAAACATCCAAATTTTCGAGCCACTGATGTAGTAAAGCCACAAAAAAATATTTCTATTACCCTTAGAATAACTGTAGGTGCAAAATTTTAAGTCAATACTTTTTTACAAAGTTAAGTTTTTTCGTGATTTTGAAATTATAACTTCAACATCCTGTATCTTATTAAGGCGGTGTTTTTAAGCTCATAGAGGAATTTATGCTGATTGTGCCCATTATAATAGAGAGTGATAAGTGATACTCCGAGTGTCGTAAGATGGGACCTTTCCAATCTACCTCATAAAAGTTAAACCACTGTGAAATTCCTAAATTTGAAAAATCCTATTTTTAATTACACAACAATTCTCATAAGTCAAACACGCTACAAGTTTCAGCAAATAATGCATAAAGGTTATATCAAATTCAGTTTCTTTTTCATCGATTTTATTTTCAATGAATTGATTATTCGAGTAGAAAAGGAAAACGAGCACCAGAAAAAGTACCTATAACTATTTTGGTAGAAAACTAAAGTGTATTATACTTTCAAAATTGATTAAATTCCAGCTAAACCAAGAAACCCTCATCTACAAAATTTTGTTTGGGTTCAGGTCTTTATATCAAGTACTCCAATACAAGGAGATACAGAAATTCTGACATTGTTAATGCTGCTAAGATTTCGATTACAGGGAATGCTTTTGTGATGATTACTTGTGTTTCTAAAAGCTTTCAGAAGAAGTTAGTATCGTATTAAATATTTATAAGCTCATCAATCAGTTCAGAAACAATGCAGTAATTGATTGGAAACTTCCTCTTTCAGAATTCTAATTCTGTAGTGAGAAATCCCCAAACGAAACAGTCCTCCAAAATTTCCCAATGCTCTCACAAAACAACTTTACTTTTTTTCAAGCCCTCTCACATTATTTCAAAATAAAAGTCCGCCTAATTTTCTATAGCCCCAGTCGCTTGAGTCTCAGAAACTTCCACAAACCCCCTATATTAATCTGAATAAGCTCCCAACTTACTACTTGTCCAGGAGGAAGTTGAAACCTATCCTCTTCCGTCATGTCCACTGTCAGCCTAACTTCACCTCGATTCTTTATTTGCACCCCTTTGGTGTGAGTTTGGGCGATGTCCTCTGCCGTTACCCTGGAAACTACCCCAGCCAGTACCCCCAGCAGTACCAGCACCGTTGTCGAAATAGAAGTAAACATTCTACTAAAAAATGACCGCTCGGCGACACAGACGACCACGGAGTCTTCGACGTACTACGTCCTCTGACTACGTCTACGTGTTACAAACTGGAATAAATTATATATCACTAGATTTTTCTTGTGAACCGTAAACATGTTTTTGTTGATAGTAGTATAGCACGGTCGTTTTGTGCTTCAAGCGGACCTCATTTAAGCCTACACTGTTCGACGTGAAAGCTTATCAGCCTAAGCTCAGAAAGCGGTCAAGCAAAGATAAAAAAAGTGTTCGTTCATCCAGCAATCCTATGTTGAACCATCAATGACATGTAACACCTTAAAATGAATAATATATCCTGAAAAAGCTACTTTTACAGGTATAGCGATTATAATAAAAAACCGTTTTGCACTTCTCAATAAAAGCTCACAAAGTCTCAAGTGACAGTTTGCCTGGCCTATAAAAGGCATGATTCAGAATAGATTTGCACATGCTCCGGTTATTAACGTGCTTGTACAACAGAAAGGAGTCAAGAATGTTGACGTGTTTCCTGCTCAATAATATCTACTAATCCATTTTCAAGTGCTGTAAAAAAACTGTGTAAGAAAGGTGTCAGGTAGGTCCGCTGCGCTTCCCATGCAACGCTGTCACCAGTTCATAAAGGATTATGATCGGTACAAGTTAGCCGCATATCACAAAAAACTAGATGGATCAAGTCATGTCAAACAGGCTCAAACAGTTAAAATTTGCAAATTTAGCAAGATTCTGTGTACAATTATGTGGATCTTTAGGATATAACCTCCTCTCTCCCCCGAGAAAACTTGCTACCCGCATCCCTTCAAGAAGTCTTGGAGACAGGTACACTAACACAAAAAGTTATCACTTGCTGAAGAATGACCCCCCTTCCTCCTTGCTGAGAAACATTTCTGAGACTGCCCCTGAACGTTGATACGAGTAACCTCGCCGCTTGTCATCAACGACAGTACGGTAGCCACTACCACCTGTGAAACACAGACACCCGTCGCATCGGCCGGACAGCGATGCACGTACTTGATCCAGAGACGCGTCTGTTGCAAATATTTCTCTATCAGTGTACAGGGAAATCTATGATGTAAGAAATGGGTGCGCATAATTAACGGCGCTGGAAGCGTATAAGTATACTAACGTCAAAAACTTACCCCCCCCCCCAACCTCTACAGCCTTAATTCCCAATTTTTTAACCCTACAATGGTTGTTCTAGGAAAAATCAGGAGCCTCTGAAATGTCAAGAAACTAATTTGAGCGGTTTCTTTTCGCTTTTTGCCTGTAGCTCCTCCGCCGCTGGACCGATTATCAAAAACTACAAGACATATGCGTTCTTAGCAACGTGTTTATCTAAAAATTTCCTCAAATTTCGAGCGGTACTTGAGTGACGGAAATGAGTGATATGGTTTTTCGCGATGACAATGTTACTCGTATATAACATTTAAACAACTTATTTTCGAACCTTTTCGCGATTACATCTCCTCGCCAGTGCCAGTAGTGTGGGAAGTATAAAAATATGAACGTTTGAAAATTTAAACTAACAAAATTTCTAAATTCCGATATATCAGTAATTTATAGGATATCATTGTTTCAAAGAAAACGGGGACCTATTAATACTGCAGCCTAAGATGATCTGGGGACTGATTCTAACTAAATATCGACCCTTGAAATTAACTTCAACATCGCCATGATAATTTCGATATAGTTATAGGTTGGCATCAGGGATCAAAATTGACGTAAAGGATAGGTAGGTATATGCGGCAAGGTGACATCGAAATTAATCTCGAGGGTCAAAATTTAGTGAAAATCAAGCCCGCCACGGGTATTATGTAAAGAACCTATAAAACGTCAAAAAAGCTTACAAAATGTGATCTTGCAGACTAGGTAGTTTTTAGGGTGCAAACAATCATTCCACGTTTGCTCGTTAGGATCGTTGTGAGCGTCCATCTACGGAGGAATGATTCAACTACACGCACATGTTTTGTGAAGCCGCGTAGTCTGTATATTTCGTCTCTGAGAAGATGTGAAACACAGAAAGTTGGTTGAATATCAAGATCGCATCTGGATGATTATGTGTATTGGTCTGCCTGTGTATAAAACCAGTGATCTTTGTTGTGTGAGAAAATTATTACTGAATATGCTGCCAATGAAGTTTATCTATTAGCTGTGCCCGACGGGTTATTTATATGTTGTCCTTTCTGAAGACAGGTTATGTTCAAAGTTATAAATCACGATTTTTCCCGTTTTTTTTGTTTTCAAAAACTTTGAGGAGCACTGCGAGAAATCGCGACCGCGCCTGCGTTATTTGCAACTAAGCCACATCACAGAAAAATTAGTAATTATGCAACATTTTCGCAATGCCTCACATCTAGACGCTGATTTGTTGTTTCTATTGACATCGCAAAATAAACTTCTATAAGATTTAAATGACTGAAAATAAAAAGTAGTGTAATAACCTTTTCACTTTAATACATATTCCTGTCTGTAGCATATTTTCTCACCTATCCCTTCACCAGCTAGTGATTTACTTTTCTTATCTCCCTCATTTTTAAAATTCATCAAATTTGCGTTTGTAACTTCCAGAATGAATAATCTAATTTCTAGCTTTGGATCTCAAGCAAGTGTATTTGAGGCAAGAATCAAATGGAATTATCATCAACACATATTATGAGCACACAAATCCTTACTATGCACCTATGGATTGCCGTTTCCTTCTAGCTATAGTATACAGCTTACAGCTTAGACCTCCAGTAACGCCATCTTTGAAGCAGATGTTGCATCTCGACAGAGCCAAACATTGATAACTAAAGAATCATGACGTTTAGGCAACACGTACAACAAAACGAGTTCACAACAAGTGTCCATCAGCTAGTGCTAAGTCAACATCTTGTAGATAAACCTACATATCTCACAAAAGACCAATACAATGTAAAAAAATGTCACTTTTCAAGATACGTAATATCCGTGCCGAATCATTTTACGGTGTTGTAGTTCGTGATACAAGTACATTTTCAGATTGTCCAAAAAACCTGACTACTCTACCTAAGAAGAATGAATTTAAAATTCGCCATTTTGATTGTGTAAAATTTGAATCCAGTATCACTCGCACTGTCAAGATAAATCTAGAGACTCCTCATATGTCAAAATGCATCCAGCCGTGAAATATTATTGTTTGTGTGCGTACTCACGCGCGTGAAACATAACCCTCCTCCTGAGGCAGTTTGCTTGTCCTTCAATTTTTACTGTAGGCGATAATGTCAATGGAAGCTACTTTTCGAATTTCTTTTCAAACATAGCTTCTTCTTTACACTTTAATTTTCAATATTCCGTTGATAAAGATGGCTTTAAGCTGTGGACGAGCATAATGTACAGTCAATGTCTTTAATGTCTCTTCCCCTATTTATTTTCTAAATCGTTGACATTAGCAAGTCAATTTTTTTAGGACATTATGTTTTTTCAATATTCGAACTGGATTTGTTCTATATTGGAATAGATAATTCCACTTCCGACTCTTAAAGTTATGAGTCAACGGTTTGTTTTGAAGCAATTTACAACCTTACTTCCTAGGCCAAAATTAGCGAACTGTCTTTCGCAGACTGTACTAATATGCTCAACTTTGATAGCCCGCCAGTTTCTCATTTTAATAAAAGTGGACTTCTGCATTCTAAAAACAGCAACCATCTTGAAATTTGAGCTGCCACTTTTATACTAAAATTTGGTGTCCATGCATCTGCTCAATGCTTATGGACTTCAATTCGTTGACTTGACCTGTATTAAAAATAAATGGAAGAAAACGTTGTATCAACTCATCTTACTGGATGAAATGAAGAAATTAAAAATATTTTTAACTCCAATCTAACTGATCTATAAGGTTTTATCTTGCGAGCCTTTTGTTTTCTTGTTAGCTCGAGACGCGCGACAGGGTCGGACTGCTTTCAAATGTCGTAATGCTCTATTTATAGAGAAAATTGACGTGAATGCTATGTATATGAAAAGCTTGTGACACATCGGGAAATTATATCATTTGTTTGAATACAAGAGAGGAATGTTGTTTCGGTAATCTTCTACTGCTTATAATACATAAAATGTAACTGTACTCGTGTTATTTAATACGACTTCAGTCTAATTGATAGATACGAATCATTATTCAGTATTGATGAGTACCACGACAAACTTAAGGAGAAGGTAGGCTTTGGATTGGCCTCCCAAATAACAAAAACTTACCTATATAAAAGTGTCACCGTTTTTGAGATATTGAATTTTTTCTTAAATTTTACAAACAACGAACCTTTTCATCCGTGCTCTTTAGCTGCATGTACAAATAAGGTTATACTTTGTACAGTTTTTCTATTAAATGCTTCTAGATAGTTGCTTTATCATATACAAATGCCATGTAGTTAAAAGATATTAAGGAACCCGCCTCAGTTGACGACAGCATCTTAGTATACGAGTTGCGCCAGAAAATATTTGGGGCACTAAAGTTTCTTTCGATATTTAAGACGATTCCTCCTCAATTCCAGCGATACCGTAGCCCCACGGTACCCAATGGGTGTTTAGGCCTTAGGCCTTCGTGGTAGTTGGAGTATTAAAAAAAAACTCTTAAAGGTCTGTATTGACGAGGCAGCCTCCTGTTGACAACCTGATTCTTTGTTCTTGTCACGAATCTCTCTGCTCTGTGTGGTCTTCCACTTTTTGAGAGATACAGACATGGTATTCCTCTCTCGCACTTCCTTGTTGTTCGATAAATGGTTCTGCGTGAAATGTTTGCATTCTGGAATATTCGACAAGCTTCAGCTTTGGGTACCCGCCCAACCAACTTGTAGATACTTTATATTATTTCTAATTTATACTATATCTTGAAGCGAAAATTTCAAAACAAATAAATGTGAACTGACAGTAAAGTAAGTAAACAAGCTTTTGTTCCCAAAGGCAACTTGATATCATTTTGTGTATTTTAAAGTTAAAGCCAATGAATTTCGAGTCAAAACTTGCAGGACATACGTTAGAAAGGCTTTTGGCCTATGGAATCACGAATCTGCATATGGATGGAAGAGAATGGATTGTAATTAGCTCTTGAGAATACGGACTCTG